TTGTGGGTGTAGTTGTGTGTTATGGGGACTGTTGCTGTCTCCCACTCAGTTAGACAAAAATTACAATTGAGTAACCATCAAAAAACTAAAAGCACATGGACAAAAAACACACCATGTAATCACACAGGAACAGTGACAAAAAAAGGGGGGGAAAAAGAAGAAGAAAAAACAAGAAAACTTGCAGTATCTGGGGATAGGGCACTAAGAGATAAAAGGTAGAGAAGGAAAATAATGAAGAAAAAAATGGGAAAAATGCAAAAAGAGAAACAAAGAATAGGGTTAACCATGAGAAAAAAAGAAAAAATAAATAAATTTTAAAAAATAGTAATAATAAAATATTCAACCAGGAACAGGGAAAGGAAAAAAAGCTGAAAACTAGGACCTGGGAGGGAAAGAGTAAGATTAATAGTAAAAATGACAAAAGTATTAATAATAATAGTTGTTTTAAAACAGATAAATACAAGCAATCTAATCACCAGAAACAAAAAAGTGAAAAAGAAAAAAATAATAAAAAAGAAGAAAAAAAAATTGGTGGAGGACAGGGCAGGGCACTCAGGCTCCATCTGAGCACACAGACTGTGATGGAGTTTTTGTGGGCCCAGAAGGTGGGTGGGAGTAGGGGATGGCCTCACCTCCATTCACCAAGCAGGAGTGGGGTAAAAGAGTAACAAGAGAAATGTGGTACCTTTTCACTCTTGCAGGTCTGGGGTATCCTTAGGGTTGCTGGAAAGCGGAACCTCTTCTTAAGCCCCTGGAATCTCGGACAGCACTATCTCTTTAAATATCCAAAATGGTCAAGCCGCTTGTAACATTCAAAATGGCAGCATCCTCCGGACTGGCAAAAGTCCACAGCTCAGCTCACCTTTCTCTTCACCTTCTCCATTCATTCCCCAGCCACCAGAGCAGTCCTCTATGCAGTCCGTGGCTAGCAGGGCTGATTTTTAGGTTAATTCTTAGGTCCTACCACCACTCAGGAATCTCCAAGCTGTCTATGCCATCAGGATCACTCAGGATCGCTGCCAGACCACAGGTCCATCTGTCACCTTTTTTGGTATTTTCATGCAAATTCTTCTGCTAGTTGGGGTTTAGTCCACTTCTATATCCTTCCCTTAAAGGCTCAGGGGTCCAGGATTATCTTCTGTGTCTTTGTTAATTGGTTTCCCTTTTCTTTGTTGAAGAGGGTCTGTGCAGTCTTTCTGCCTAGTCCGCCATCTTGCCAGAACTCCCTCTTTCTCATATTTTTAACGACCTCTTGCTTTCTTCATGGATGATGTTCTTGATGTCATCCCTCAATTCCTCTGGTTTTCGGTCATTGGTGTTCAATGCATCAAATCTATTCTTTAGATGGTCTCTAAATCCAGGAGGGATATATTCAAGGTCATATTTTGGCTCTTGTGGACTTGTTTTAATTGTCTTCAACTTCAAGTTGAACTTGCATATGAGCAGTTGATGGTCTTTTCCACAATCAGTTCCTGGCCTTGTTTTGGCTAAAGATACTGAACTTTTCCATTGCCTCTTGCCACAGACATAGTCAGTCTGATTCCTGTGTACTCCATCTGATGAAGTCCACGTGTATAGCTGCCATTTGTGTTGTTGGAAAAAGGTATTTGCAATGAATAAGTCGTTAGTCTTGCAAAATTCTTTCATGCAATCTCCAGCGTTATTTCTGTCACCAAAGCCAAATTTTCCAACTACCAGTGATTCTTCTTTGTTTCCATCTTTTGCATTCCAATCACCAGAGATAAGCAACACATCTTGATTGCATGTTCAGTCAATTTCAGACTGCAGAAGTTGATAAAAAAAATCTTCAATTTCCTCATCTTTGGTTTTGGTGGTTGGTGTGTAAATTTGAGTAATAGTCGTATTAATGGGTCTTCCTTGTAGGCGTATGATAAAGTAGAGGGTCAAAAAAAAAAAAAAAAAAGGAAGACCCTCCACAAGATGAATTCAAACATAGCAATAATTGTGAGGATGGCACAAGACCAGGCAGCGTTTTGTTGAGTTGTACGTAGGGTCACTGTGAGTTGGAAAGGACTCATTGGCATCTAACAAAACAACACCAGCACCCTTTTTCCTCACAGTATTTCTGAGGGTTAATGGTGTCTACTTCATGTAATGCCACCAAAATGGATCATGGTGGATGGACATGCTGCTTCCCGAAGCTAAAAAGACCATTCATAATTGTCTAAGGTGAGATGCAGGGGTCCCTGGTCAAGCACTGTCCTTTTTACCCAAACTGAAATATGCAGGCCTTCTGGAGGAGAAAAATTTTAATCCACATTTAATTATCCTTCTCTCTCCACAAGCTTATGAAGCAAGTCAGTCCTTTCTTTGTGAACCAAGAGTATCTGGGGATACAAATCTGTGTCTCTTTAATGTACCATGCATGAATTCAACTGATTAGGATTGACATAAGCCACTACTGTCAGCACAGTATTTGCCTAAGTGCTGTACATCACACCAGGGAAATAGATAATGACCTTCTTTGCCCTTAATCATCCTGAACCCCCTCAGTTCTCTAAGATTTAAAAGCAGAATAATATTGCTTTTCTAACCTTCTCAAAAATTTTAGAAACATAAATTGGATCATGCCTCAAACTCAAGGAGAAAGGCACTGATGGAAAACATGAGATAGTCAACCTGTTTCAGTGATATTGAACACAGTGATATTGTGAGTCTCTCCTTCTCCAAAGATAAGTAGTGTGCAATCCCATGATGTAATTTCCCTTATGGTTTTTTAAACATCATTTTAAATGTCAGACAGTGAACAAGTGAGCCAGTATGGGCTGACTTGGAAGCATTAACAACATGAAATCTTAAGGTTATAAAGGAATTTTCTGGAAAAGAGAAAATGCACGTCTTACCTCCTACCAACAAGTAGCTGTTGGGGAACAGTGTTTTTGCTTGCATAAGTGCCCTTGCATGACCTGAGTGGAAGAGGTCAAATATTCCATCTGCATACACCCTTACAGGCCTGTCAACTGTGGAAGAAAGAAAATATTGTCAACAGAATAGCAGAAAAAGGAATCCCAGTTACCTGATTCTTTCATCAGTACTGTGCTGTATTAAGTTTACCTGGATAAGCTACAATCTCTACATACCATCAGTTGCATATTAGTACATGAAATTGATTTTTAAAAGAGGTTCTTATGAGGGCATCAAAGCAGAGTAAAAAAAAAAAAAAATTAAGATAGAACCAGAACACATTTTTAGCCAACAGGAGATACAAACACAGTACACTATGGAGTTTTCTGAGCCAGTAGATTCAGGTTGACCATGCCCAAAGGGTAAGCAGAGTCGTTCAGCAGAACTATCAAGGCAGGAGTAACTGAGGAGCTCAATGGACAGGCAAACAACTTCATCCTTGAGTTTGGAAGGTCCGGAATGAAGACCCTCATGCCCTTTCCTCAGAGGCAGTGGTGTGCTGGAGTCTCCTCACTCTCACAAGAGCCAGTTGGGTACCTTTTGTCCCAACTCCAGGTCACATAAAAAAAAAAAAAAAACTCACTGCTGTCGAGTCAGATCTGACTCATAGTGACCGCTCCTTGGGTTTCTGAGGCAGTATTACTACGGAAGTAGATTGCCCAACCTTCCTCCTGAGGAGTGGCTGGTGGGTTTGAACCCCCAGCCTTCTGGTTAGCAGTCAAATGCTTTAGGCACTACACTACCGGGTAGCCTGAAATCAGCCATGATAGAAATATTTACACCTTGGAAATGGGCAAATGTGACAAATTGGGGCTTATTTCTCCCCCAGAGAAACTGCAAGATGGCAGTACTGTTGAGCTAGGCTGAAGATCCATGCCCTTCAAGTCAGAGGGAGAGATCAGTGGAGGTAGTAGGGTGGGCTCCATCAATCTGGTAAATGAAGCAAGTTACAGAAATATTCTTTTGAACTTGGAGTGGGAGAAGGAGGGTTTCAGCTCTACTGTACCCCCATCCTGATAGTCTACAACATGCCTGTTACACCTATTGAAAAACTCTATAGATCTTACCAACTTTTACATATTTCTGATTTCTCAGAAAAGAAACAGGAAAGTGCAAGTTCAAGAAGAGGATCCAAAAAAAAGGATGGTAGGAGAAAGAAGTAGTTTCTCATGTCAAAGTGTTCTTGTCTTAAGCACCCCTGCCACTTCTTCATTTAACTTCTACGTTACAAACAAGGGAGCTCTGGTGGTGTAGTGCCTAAGGCATTTGACTGCTAACCAGAAGGCTGGCGGTTCAAAGCCCCCAGCCACTCCTCGGAAGGAAGACTGAGCAATCTACTTCTGTAGTGATACTGCCTGGGAAACCCAAGGAGGGGTCGCTAAGAATTGGGACCGACTTGAGGGCAGTGATTTGGTTTTGTTTTGCTTTGTTACAAACAACATAGAGACTTGCTGTTCTTGCATTGAGAAAAAGGAAGAAAGCATATGTGGACACACCAGTGATCTTAAAAGAAAGAAAAAAAGGAATATGAAGGCTACCATGGCAAACTGAACACATAGATTTAGCTCTGCTTCCTCCCAAAACACCACCAAAATTACAGAAAAAGAGTTACAAAGGTATAATTCTCTAAGGGCAGAGAAAACAAGAAAGGCAGTGACAGTGGATGAGAGATGTCAATGCATTTTGTAAAAT